ACACACACACACACACACACACACACACACAACCAGCACAAAAAAACCCCATCTAATTAAAAATGAGCAGAGAACCTGAATAGACATTTTTCTAAATAGGACATACAGATTTATGAAAAGACTAGAGGCCTGGTGCACAAATTTGTGCACGGGCGGGGTCTAGCCGGCCCACCCTGATGGGGACCCATTGGGCCAGGCTGCTGGTGGGGAGGGGCTGTGGGCAGTTGGTCAGCCAGCCCTACCCTTGATTGGGGTGTTGGGGGCCAATTGGGGGTCAGACCGGCAAGAGGGAGGTAATCAAGTCCCGAATCAGGCCGGTTGGCTGCCGCAGTGAACATTCTGGTCATTCCACCATTCCAATCACTGGGCTTTTATATATATAGATGTTCAACATCACTAACCATCAGAGAAATGCAAATTAAAACCACAATGAGATGTCATCTTATACCTATCAGAATGGCTATCATCAATAAATCAACAAACAACAGGTGTTATAGAAGATGTGGAGAAAAGGGAACCCTCATGCACTATTGGTGGGATTATAAATGTAACAATCCCACTATGGAAAACAGAATGGAGGATTCTTAAAAATTTAAAGATAGATCTACTATATGACCCAGAAATTCCATTTTTAAGTATTGAAATGAGCATGGAGGTTTCTTAAAATATTAAAAATAGAACTATCATATGATCCAGCAATTCTACTCTGGGTATGTATCTGAACAACTCCAAAACACTAATTCAAAAAGACATATGTACTGTTATTTTCATTGCAGCTTTATTTACAACTAGAGGACTGGTGCACAACATTTGTGTGGGGGTGGGGGGGGGGTGGGTATCCCCTCAGCCCAGCCTGCACCCTCTCCAATCCAGGACTTCTCGGTGGATGTCTGACTGCCAGTTTAGGCCCAACTGGCAGTCAGACATCCCTCTCACAATCTGGGACTGCTGGCTCCTAACTGCTCACCTGCCTGCCTGCCTGTCCACCCCTAACTGCCCTCCCTGCCAGCCTGATCACCCCTAACTGCCCACCCTGCCAGCCTGGTCGCCCCTTACTGACCCCCTTGCTGGCCTTGTTGCCCCCAACTGTCCCCCTCTGCTGGCCTGGTCACCCCTAACTGCCCCCCCACCAGCCTGGTTACCCCAAATGCTCCCCCCCCACCGGCCTGGTCATCCCCAACTGCCCCCCTGCCAGCCTGGTTGCCCCACACAGCCTTCTGTTCAGTCATTTGATCATCCCTCACTAACCCCCCTGCCAACCTGGTCGCCCCACGCAGCCTGCTCAGTCGTTTGGTCATCCCTCACTAACCCCTCTGCCGGTCTTGTTGCCCCAGGCAACCTGCTGGTCATTACTGTTTACTGTGATGACATCCCACACAATTTTCATATTCCTCTATTATTAGCATAGATAGCCAAAATATGGAAGTAACCTAAGTGTCCATTGATAGACAAACGGATAAAGAAGATGTATATATTTATATTACAGGCCCGGTGCACAAAATTTGTGCATGGGAGGGGGGTCCCTAAGCCCAGCTTGCACCCTCTCCAATCTGAAACTCCTCGGGGGATGTCCAACTGCCTCTTGCAATCTGGGACTGCTGGCTCCTAACCGCTCACCTGCTTGCCTGCCTGCCTGATTGCCCATAACCCCTCTGCCTACCTACCTGATCGCCCCTAATCACCTCTGCCTGCCTGATCGCCCCTAACTGCTCCCCTGCTGGCCTGGTAGCCCCTAATTGCTTCTGCCTTGCCCCATACCTGGGACCCAAGATTCCCTCCTCCGGCTGGCTGCAGGCACCCAGGACCCATGGGCAGGCAGCTTCACCCAGGCCACAGCCACAGGCACCCCGGACCGCAGGGTGGGTAGCTTGTCCCTCTCATGGGCCACAGCCTGGCTGATCCCATTCCTCTCTCGTGAGCTTTGTGCCTGGCTGGTCCCCATTTCTCTCTCCCCAGTGTTGAGTGTCTGAGCCATTACGGTGTGATGGCGAGGGGGCATGATGATCATTTGCATATTAGCTCTTTAGTATATAGGATATACACAATGGAATGTTTCTCAACCATAAAAATAATGAAATCTTGTAATTTGTGACAACATGAATGGACTGAGAGGTATTATGCTAAGTTAAATAAGTCAAACAGAGAAAACACATACCATGTGATTTCACCTATATATGAAATCTAAAAATCCTACGTTAAAAAAACAATAAACAAACAAACAAAACAGAAACATAGATACAGGTAACAAACTGATGGTTGCCAGATGGGAGGGGTGTTGGGGGATTAGATGAAAATGATAAAGGAATTAAGAAGTACAAATTGGCGGTTATAAAAGAGTCATGAGGATGTAGAGTACAGCATAGGGAATATAGTCAATATTGCAATAACTATGTATGGTATCATATGGGTACTAGGCTTACTAGGGGATAACTTTATAAGTTATATAAACATCTAACCACTATGTTGTATACCTGAAGCTAATATAATATTGCATGTCAACTGTCATTGAAAAAAACATTAAATTTTGTTAAAAACTATGATATATAAATATGGAATCATTACCTTGTTCCGAAATAAATCTAATGTTATGTCAATTATACCTTAAAACAAATATTTTTTAGTTGTGGATACCACTTTTAAAAAATTTTTAAATTATCTCCTTTACAATGTTTTCTGTGTGTGTGTGTGTGTGTGTGTGTGCCCAAAGCATACCATTTCATTCTCTGAAGACCTTTGACCTGACCTGAACTTTGAACTGATGTGGCAGTTCTGTATTTTGCAGGGATTGGTTGGGGAGGCTTTTAGGGAAGTCACACTGAAAAGTCTGAAATACCCAAGGGTACATGCATGAGTGAAACTTTTCTTGTAACTTGGAGACACAGAACCGGAAAAGCAGAATGAAGAAGGGCTGTGCAAACAGGAGATTCTGTTTCAGGGGTGCCCCTATCTCTAGCCACATGGTTTATTTTTAGCACTATTATCTGGTGATATTACTTTGACAAAAACAGTGCAGTGGTTTTGAGTTCTTTTAGTGTTCTGGTGGTTCATGTCTTTTTCTCCCAGTTAAGTAGTTCTAATGCAACACTTCTTAGCCACAAAAGAGTTCAACCAAATGCCTTAGAGAATGAACACTTCCCTTTGATTCTTACCTTTCTTCATCACACACACACACACACACACACACACACACACACACACTGGGAAACTTTCTATTCTTTTCAGTCTTCATCCCAATAAAGCTGGTTTTTTGGATATTGTTATCAACTGAATTGCTTCATTTTGTTAAAAATCATTTAATGTAATCACTGAAGATGTCTATTCATTAGAGGCCTATTAAAGTAGTAGCTTTTAAATCAGATGGATTTCAAAGGTTTTTCTATGACTCAGGTTTCTTATCTGAAAAAAAAAGGGGATAAGAGCAGGACCTCTCTCAAAGGAGGCTGAGAATTATAATGAGAAGTTTCCAGTAAAGCCCATACTAGGTGTTTGATAAGAGTCTGATGTGATTATCCTAAGTTCAGAGAGGCACCTTTCATCCTTTGGACCAGGTCTTGCTGGGCTGGGGAGGTGTAGGTGGGTGGCTGAGATGTGCACCCTTGGACAACTTTGAAAGGAGGTGGGAAGTGAACTCAGTAACCCTGTTTATAATTAGCTGTGCTTTGGGGAATCTTCCAGTCTCCCTCAGCTTGTCCTAACTGCAGAAGTGTACATGTTTCCTTTCAGATCAAGGAATAAAAAGGTGTCTCAAATTTCCACTTCTTCTCTGCCATTCCCAAGCTCCACTCTGGCCCAGCCTGTGAGGGGAAAACTTAAGCCTCTTCCACCACATTGATTCAAATAGCTGCATTCAAGCAGCAGACCAAAAAACGGCAGGCTTTTATCTCCACTCTTATAAAGTGTCCGCTCTTGGGGAAGAAGAGAGATTTGGGATTTAAGAATTGCACCTAGGCATAAAATAAGATGGATCCGCCTTCATTTCTGGGAAAATCCTGTACCAGCACCATCTTCCCTGCCCCCTGTAATTGGGATGCTATGTGTGTTTGCAATTTGAAGAGGGATTTCTCATCTCTCCCTTGTTCTCTTTCTGCACAGCCCACCTGCAGCCTCTTCCAGGATCCTCCTCCATGTTGCCCTTGGATCTGCCTTTTCCCTAAAAATGCTCTGGCCAAGGGTTTTTATTCCATCATGCTCATGTTCTTATGTTTTTGTCAAATAGAGAACGCTGCGCTGTCTCTCTCACGAACTCAGCCAACTGCCAGACGAACATGAATCAGGATTCCTGAACTTAGAGCCCATGCCTGCTCTACGAGATTATTCAACCTGCTACGAGGGCCAGGACGTTCTGAGTTCCCTGCCAGCTGGGCCTAAATCAGCACCCAGGATGCCAGAGTGGGATCACGATATCAGGAGTTCACAGAATGGACTAACCTTATCTCCTCCGCCTTCCAATATCCACCTGGAAAAACCAACAACCCTGAGCCACAGAGGTCAACAGAGGCGAACTGAACTGTCTGGGCATGCACTTCACCTCCTGCCGGCAACATGACCATGAGCTCAGGACTTCACCCCCCTGCACCTCAGTTCCCTCACCGTAAAAGGGAGACAGTAGACGAGTTGTACAACTGGCAGGGTTCCTGGCCTGGCAATCATAAAGATACTGCCAACATAGGCTTTCAATCACCCTAGCATGGAGGGGGAGCAGGATCTTCAAAACTGCAATTGAGCTCAGGATTTAGGTTCATGTAAATAAGCCCGGCTCATTCTCCCATCCGATCTCTGCCCAAGCTTCTCACTCCCCGGTCTTCTCCCCCTGTCCTTCTCCCAGTCCCCTGCCTCTCCTCAGGTCCCCTCCCAGGTTTAGAGCCCCAGGTGGGTCTGTCCAAAGGGATCTCTCCTGCCCTATCTCCTTTGGGCAGTGCACATTCTTGCTTTTCAGTGTATTGCTTTCCTCTAAACTTAATGCAGAACTCAAGATGATTTCTTTTGAGCCACCCATAAAGGCGGCACATTGCAAGGCCACAACGCTGGAGACAGACACACGCTTGATGCTGGTTGCTGGATGCGGAATGCCTGGCTAAAGAGACCTTTCATGGAAACCTCCTGACTTCCATGCTAACCACCTTGTGATCACCCCAAGTGGGACCTGCGGTAGAGGACTGTGATTTGCAGATCCCTGAGCGCAGGTCTGTGAAATCCGGGAGGAAGCGTGCGCTGCGTGTGGAGGCATTCCAATAATAGTTCAGCGGGGAGGAGAGTGCAGTGACTCATGTCCCCAGAGCACGTCCTGAGGCAGAGAGGCGGGGGCGGGACACTCACCCAGGCAGGGCAGCGGGGGGATTACCTGCGGAGGCCAGGAAACCGGGCAGGCGGAGCACAGACTGGGGAGCTGGGGTGCACCAGGCCAGCCACATTGACTCACACAGGAAAGTGACAGGGCGATGACCAAATTTGAAAGAAGCAAGTTGCCTGTGTCAGGGAAGCTCATAGAGAAACAGGAAGCATGATCAGCTGGTACCAAGCGCAGAAAAGGAAAATCCAGCGTGTCTGCCTGCCTTTGTTCTCCCTGAAGTTTATCAAGATGAATGACTATTGAGCACAGCACTGTGCTTCTGAGAAAGGAGATGCAGCCACCCCCTCGGCATGGGCCCCCACAGACATCTGCAAGGCCTGCCGGGCTGTGTTGGGTGGCTCCCACGGCCAGCCTCACCACCACCCTCACTTGTAATTGCTTTAGCTGACTTCTAGTCACAGCCCTGCCTGTTCAGTTTTATGGGTGGCCAGCTTGTGGGGGGCGGGGGTGGTGGTGGTGGAGATGTACTCTGCTCACCACGAGACCAGGCAGAGGAAAGGGCATATTTTCTGTCTACCCAAAGGAGGGCAGCATTCTTTTCTAAATAGCACAGAGACATTCTACATGTAAGCCGTGGCCCTGTTCACTGAGCACCTACTAAATGTCTAACGCTGTGTGAAGAACTTGATGCACATTGTCACATTTAATTCTTACAACAATCCCAAGAGGCAGACTCTTTTAGTATCCCTGTTCTATGCATTGAGTACATGGAAGCACAGAGAGGCAGAGCAATCTGTCTAACATCACACAGCTATTTGTATCAGCTTTGGAATTTGATCACAGGCTGTGCTCCCTCCCAGCAGGATTCTGTTTAGTCCTAGGGATTGATGATGATGATTTAAGTCGTGGGTAGTTGGGATGCATTTTTTGCAGTCTGTGTTCTTAGGCGTGTCTCTGTCAGCCTCTAGAGTGAAGAGAGGATGGAGGAGTGTTGGGGAGTCCGTGGAGAGGTTGGCTTCATTATTGTAGGGCCAGGCGACCTACCACAGGGCCTGCCTACAGGCAGAAGGAGGCCTCAATGTCCCTGGTGGAGCAGCAGGTCTGGATGGAAGGTCTGCAGGCAGCACAAGGCAAGGGGTCCTCTTGATAGACATCGCCTTGCCACCGCCCCATTCCCTCAGGGCCCTGAGTGGTGGTCTTCCTGCTGTGCAGGGTATTTCTTATGGAACTCTCTCCAGGAAAGACAGCCAGCATAACCTGCCACTCCAATGGAGTTGCCTCTCTCAAGAGGCATAGCAAGTGTCAGTCCAGAAATTCTCAAGTATCAGTACCCTAAAATCACACTCCCGTCAGGGAATTGGCATGCTAACAAGTTCCCCAGGCCATTCGGATATAAGCAGTGCTTACGACTATTCTTTGTGAAACTACACTTTGGGATCTTCTTTCTATGGGAAGCAGGTCATCTTCCCAAGTTAAATGAAACAAGGAAAGCTGACACTGAAAGTTCCCTTGTCAAATGAAAGCCATCAACCCTGGCACTTCGCTGACCACCACTTCTTTGTAGGATACTTTTAGTTTTGCAAAGGAACTGGAAAGATTTTGCTCACAACCACAGGTGAAGGTTCTTGGAGGGAGCCTGAGGCAACCTGTGATGGCATGAATTGTCCTAAAGAAAATCAGAAAAAAGAACATGTAAGTTTGAATGGCCGGAACCATATTTTGGGGGGGCCTGTTTCCAATGGCTCTGCAAAACTAAAGATCTTCGTGCATAAAAACAAAAGTTTGGAAAATGAGGGCAGATGAAGACTTGCGTTTCAGGGGGGTGGCCTAGGCCTCTGAGGTTCAGGCATGGAGGGGTCTGAAGGCTGGAGGGTGAGACACTTCTTCTGATTTTACCCCTGGCCTCCCTCCTCCTCACAAAAGGAACAGGCTTCCCCTGGGTTGTGGTAGGAAAAGCAACACAAAGCCACGTGGCTCAGGAATTTCTCTCTCTCCAGCCTGCCTGACACTTTATCCTTATATGGTTTTCCCTTGTCTCTGGAAGCACTGGGAACTGTAAGACTACCCACATGACAATGCCTGGAGAACACCTTATCCCTTGTCGCCCACCATTCTGGAAGGGAGAACTTGCACACCAAGAACTTGGCAGCCAGCTGGGAGAATCAAGGTAGGTGAAGAGGCATCAGATGGACAATGGGGTGAGAGGGGGCTAATGAGATCTGACAAGGCATCTAAAGGGGAGGGCATGGTCTCCCATGTCAGAAACCAGTTCTGCTCATGGCCGTCATCCTTATGATTAGAGTTGGAACTGTCCCTGTCCTCCCCACCAAGAACCATGAGCATCCATACCCCACCTTGCTCCATTTCTTGGATTCAATACTATAATTAAGAGTCCAGACAGCTGGCCACATCATATATTCTGGCTTCATCCTTTTTCAAAGGAATGGGGCAAGTGTGCCGTGTGTGTGTGTGTGTGTGTGTGTGTGTGTGTGTGTGTGTGTGTGTGTTGAGCTCTGAAGCTATAGATTTCCTTCCTGTTATGCACCCCTTGGGCCTGTTCACAGGTCCACCAGTTTGGACAATCCCAGGAACTGCACAGACAAGAGGCAGCAGGCTGGGAGTACATCTGTCCGGAGACAGCTCTGAGGTAGAGCCGGAGCTGCAACCAACCACCCTGTGAAAGGAGCTGCCTCCCTGTAAGATGTCAAGGCCAGAGTTAAGCCCCCTCCCACCACTTGGTAGCTCCCTGAATTTCACACCAGTCAGCAGGGCCACAACAGGCAGAAGTAAAAAGGCCCAGGTTCCCACTGCTTTCCTCCTAGCTGTGAGCAGACGCTTGGGGTCATAAAGCCTGTTGGAAGCAAAGGTAGACAGTGAACTTGGGCAAAGGATAGCCTCTTGGGGCCTCTGTTTCCTCAAATGTAAAACAAAGCAGTTGGTCACAGAAATTCCTTTCTGGCTCTAAAGTTGTGTGACTGTATAATTCTCTAAGATGTTACCACTGCTCATCTGGCACACATTTAGATGTATGCATATGCTGAGACACGTCATATAGGTGTTTAACTTACAGGAAATAAATTATGCAAGCTCTGTCTCTTTCACATACTTAAAAATAAAAATGCTGTAAAATCACATTTTGCATACACATGCATGGCATATATTTATACAAACATAATACTGAGAAGGAGTACATGCCCCAAACCTTGTATAATTATACTTTGTGGGTGATTTAAATATTTTTCGAACTTGCCTTTGATTGTACTTGACTTTAGAACGTAACCTCACAGAAAGTGAGATTCCACTGTAATTCTTATTGCATTGCAAGGGGGTCAGAGGAGCATAAGGAAAAGAATGTGGGTCTGAAAACAGATTGACATGGGTGTAAATCCTGAATTTGAATTTCAGCTATGCCTTCTATTAATGGTGTAATGCTGGACAGTTTTCTGATATGTTATAACCTCTAACACTTACTACTGTCCCTATGACCAGGTCCATGTAGCCCAAATACACTTTGGTAAATGCTTCCCAAATGCACAGTTTAAGAGGCCCTATGTCATTGTTGGCAGGCATTACTCTACCTTCCAGGAGCCCCTGGCTGGGCAGCTAGTCTCATGCGCAGCAGTTGGGCATTAGCACAATGAAAGTCAGTGTTTCTGGGTATCATTAGCATCAGAATCACCTAGGGTGCTTTATAAAGATGTATATTCCTTGGCTGCCCCTCAAAGCTGCCAAATTAGACAAGGAGGTTAGAAGTATGCATTTTAAATAGGAATCACAAGCATAAAACTGAAGTTTTAGATGCACTGGGGCTGGGAGTAGTAAAGAGGCCTCAGATACTTCTTCCTCTCATCTCCAAGATTCTAGAACTGATTTAAGGTGTGATTCAAGGAACAAAAAGAAATCCTCCCCTACCTCTTCACCCTGGAAGCTCTGGTAGGCAGGCTAACGGGGTGCCATCAGCCATAGTTTAGTGTAGGGTCCTTTAATCTGATTGTTTTCCTCTTACCAGCTTGCTGAGACCCCGGCCCTCATGGAATGGGCATCTGGATCTCCACAGAGCTGTTTCTACCAAAGGGTGGTGTCACTTGGGAAAACTGGACTCTGTGGCCTGACTCCTAATCACAGATGCTTCTACACAGAAGCACTCGGGGGAAGGGTGGTCTTGAGGAGAAAAGCATGCAGCCTCAGGGATGGAGGTATGAAATGAACAGGATGCTCTTTAGTTATGAGAGAAGGTATGTTAGAGGTTGATTCCATACACAGGAGTCCTTCTGCTATTACTAATAGGAGTAGTAAGGGTCTCCTTGAAAGCATAACAGGCCCAAGTCTTTGCTCTAACCTTTTGGGATGCAAATGAGTATCTCCAGGGACTAGCTAAACCCAGTGTCCAGTTTTACAAAGCAAAGATGTCTTCAAGGCCATGGCCCTCATAATGTAACCATATACATCTGGAGTTAACCTGGGAGCTTATCTCAATATGTAACTCGTGCGGGGATAAATGTTCTATTGTTATTTCTCCCACTTCTCCGTAGAAATTGCGAAATTTTATCCTGACTCTGTAGTCTCCTGGAGGCTACCTAACTGAATGTGCTCTGTTGTGCTTAGGCAATCATAATAAGTGAGTTGTCTTTCTTTCCACATTGATGTGGAAACTTCTCTATTTGTCAGCTAGACTTCTAATTCCCCAACAGAGGAATTAAGGGCAGGTTGAACTTGAGCTGTCCCATTCCAAGCAGTAATGGAGGATCCTTAAATTATGAGACCAGTAAATTCTAATCAATTTGCTAGCCTTGGTGGGAGCTTTCTGGAGCAGAGGAGGAAGGAGAAAGGAGCTTTGGAGCCTAAGGCACACTGAGCAAAGAGCATTGGGCGCCATGGGAATGGAGGCATGGAGACCCTTCCGATGTTGGCCACACCCCTCTCTCCTCTTCTTCACTGAGGTGATGAACTTTTGTGAGTCTCCCTCCCATTAAAGACCACTTTCACCTCTTCCCGAAACTCTCTCTTCTTCTTTTTCTTCTTCCTGGGGAAAGGGATGAAGCAATGCGGGAAGCCTATAGGGAAAGGGACATGAGGGAAAGCATGCTCTCATGGATCGCTTAATGTGGTGGTGAGAAAACACATGGGGCAGGAGACTGTCACTCACTGTGACTGTGCACCATATTCCCCACCCTGATGTTCCACTTCTTTCCCTCACTGCCAATGCCAGGCAGTATGTGGAACAAATTCAGGAAATTTCATGGTGATTCATGGGAGTTTGATTTTGGCCAGAGAATATCTGCTTTGTAAAAGGCAGAGGGAAAGGGACAATGATAGAGCCTGGGGACTTCAGACCATTCTCCTGCCATTCACCTATGCCCTTTTCAAATGTTTGTAGAACAGAATTTCTAGTTGAATCATATGGTTTTGGTTGAGAAAAGGGAGGTTGACAAGTGTGGGAAAGGGCAAAATGACTTTACAACCGCATCACTATAATCTGATCAAATACACCAAAGAGTCTTCCCTTCCAAGTGTAACTGTCTGAGGACACTACTCTCAATTCCTTCTCTACACCACACATGCCAACTATTGCTCTTCTTTATTTCACAAGACACAGGATAACTGGACAGTTTCCCATATAAAGGAAGGACATTGTTTTCTCTTTAGCTAACATTCCCTTTAAGGAGCAGAAAGACAGAAGCATCAGTGTCTCATGTTTCCATAACTCTGACTGCATGTTCCTATGACTTGTATCCATTAGACACCTCGGGCGCCTGCCAAGCGGAGCTCAAGTGACACGTTCTGACCACCATTGTGTACCAGTTGCCCCCCATCTGGACAGCTTTGTCCTGAGTTTCTCTCTGTTCCTAGGTTATCTTTGACATAATGACCCATTTTACCTTTTTCTGCCCAGAAGTGGCTGTTCCTGAGGTATTGGGGTATGGGGGTGGTGGTGGTGGTGGTGATGGGGCACTGTGTATCCATACAATGCAAGCAATCCCCAAACATCAGACATTTTCCACTTGTTCCAACTCCTTCAACAGACTTTGAAAGAAACTTAACAAAGCAGTTACTCCGGGGTTAACACCTGGTATGAGACTGCACTGCCTGAAGTGTAACTTCACAAACCACTTCAAAGCCGCTGGAGATACAGGCTTGGAACAGAAAGACCATTTCCCGCTAACCACTCTAGCATATTTCCTTCCAGTCAAGCAATAAACCTAAGGCACCAGCAGAACTCCAGGCTTGTCCTGAGCCAGCACAGAGCTGCCATTTTGTCATGGCTCCATTTGAGCCCTCTCGTCAGCCAGCCTAATGTTACCGTATCTAATAAACCACGTACAGGCTGGTTGCCTCTCAAAAGACGGATTTGCCTTGATCCTCTGTACCACATGCAATTGAGCAGTAATTTATACATTGCCTGGAAACCAGTAGCACAAACATTGCTAAGTAAATGTTCAATTGAAACCAAATCCCCCCTACTGCTCATAAAAGGAGCTTGGATGCTCACTCTCAAGTGTCAATCATCTTGAAACATGCTGCTGTCAAATTTAGCTAATTTTTTTCAAAGTGGTATCTCCCATTAAGCCAAATAATGCCTTCAGGCACATTGTTCCTTTAAAATGTTGTACTGTATTTGAATAGAAAATAAATGTGAAAAAAATGTAAGTCTACTTGGGCGGTTGATTATATATCCCTGGTTAAGTGTTTGTATTTCAGGTTACTATTTATAATCAAGAGTTTTCAAATAATTACAGCCTAAAGGAAACCACAGTAAAATTTTTAACCAGAAATTTACTCACCGTATGGGTAATGACCAAAGAATAAATAAATCGCATTTAGCAACAGGAAAGAAGAGTGACATTGCTGAAAGTTGCCAACTTCACAGAGCAGAATCTCTTTCCTATAGCTCCTCTTCTCCTTCTCATCCCTCTCAACTCCCCTTCCCACCTCAACCTAGAGCTCAATGACCTTCTGCACTTCCCCTCCATTTCTCTCTATCAAATGTTGCCTAATGGAAAAGATCTGAAATTCATTTCCATTATGGAATAAATGAATGACAACTTAAGTGTTACAAGTTTTCTGATTCTTCATTTATTTTAACATACTAAATAATGCTTTAGTCTAAAGAAAGTAGCTAATGAGAATTTTAGCAGCCAGACAATGGGGAAAGATGATTTTTGTCAGTGAAGGTGGAATATCACTGGTGGAATGTCTTCCCAACCCAAGTGAAATCTTAATAGAATAGAGGTTTGGGAGTTATTAATGAAGATGTATCAATGAACATGGGCTAAAATGAAATATTTGACAAGTATATTGTTTAAAAATAATAGCTGTGTTCCAGGAATTTAAGTGCCCTTACCAAATGGAGTCAATACAGCACAAAACTTTGCATTTGTAGAAATCAGCAAGAATGAACATTGGAAAACAATAAGACACTGCACGGGAGAACATATTTGCCAATGCTATTTCAGATAAGGGTTTAATCTCAAAAATTTACAAAGAACTCATACAACTTAACAAAAGGAAGATAAACAATCCAATCAAAAACTGGGCAATGGACCTAAATAGACACTTTTTGAAAGAGACATATGAAGGCTGAGAGACATAAGAAAACATGCTCAAAGTCACTAATCATCCGAGAGATGCAAATCAAAACAACAATGAGATACCCTCTCACACCTGTCAAAATTGCTATCATCAACAAATCAACAAATGACAAGTGCTGGCCAGGATGTGGAGAAAAAGGAACCCTCCTGCA